GCCCTGGGGGCTAGGCTGGGGCGGGGCGGCTGGGTCAGGGAGCGCCTTCCAGGGCCTGAGCAGCGCTCTTTCAAACGGGCTTCGTGTCCCCGAAGCTCTATACCTCCGAGGTTTTCCACAGATCCAGCAGTTGGCCGGAGTGGAGTCACACCTCTTGCTCAGTCCTCGTTTTCCAGGTTGAACAAGGCGCATCATCCCTGCTAGACAGAGTCCTGGTTTCCCTCTTCATCCTAAGAGCCCATCTCTGCACCTGTTCCAGTCATCTCCCTTCTCATGTGCTAGCCTTGTATGCACCATTGCAGATTAAATCTTGCCAGACTCTTCTTCAGTGGAAGAAAGGGAAATGTTTTGCTTTGTGCATGGTCAAATTGTATTTGCTATTTTCACGGCCTGTGCCTGATGCTTTCTGGTTACCTTATCAGGTTCGAATACGCTCCTGTCTGATTTCCATCTGAGAAGGATTTCTGACATAACGTGTTAATTTATTTCTTTATTAAGTGGAGGACATTGCACTCCATAATCCTCAGTCTCGTACTGTTTTTTGTAATGTAATTCTCCCTTGTTTTCCTTCTGTATGCTATGTTTCTGATTTTGTGCCAAAAGTGTCTTCATACTCATTGTGGCAAAGTCATTAATTAAAATGTTAAATAAAAACTGGTCCCAAGGGAGTTCACTGTAGATTTTCTTCCAGCCTCTACTTAACCTCCATCTTATATAAGATAAACATAAATGTCAGCGTAGCACCGTATCAAGTGTTTAACGATGTCCAGATATGTTTCTGGACATAATGTGTTTCTCCTTTTCCTAGAAAAATCACTGATTTTAAACACATCAAGTAAGTTTAGCAGGATTTTTCTTTGGGAAGCCAGCATTAGGCTTCATGTCATTTTCTGTTAAGCTTCATGTTTTTAATTATTCTTTTCTTAGAGCTTGTTTTAGAACATTGCGTACTGCTATGGTAAGAACAGCCTATACATTTGGATTAGTTCTAAATACAGAAAAAGATGCTGGGGCATGTTACCTTTTAGTCAGGCAAATTGCAAAGCCTTGAATTTTGACTGCAGGGGATAATAGCTGTGGAACAGATGTCTGGTATATTACAAGTGTTTATTATCAGATATTTTAAAATAATAGTTTGTATCTTTTGCTTAGTGTGGGCTGCTGTATTTAAGGGTTTTAGAAAATAACAAAAATAAGTTTTGAGTATTTGATTTCATGTTCTGCCACTAGAAGGAGATAGATAAAATTATGCTTGGAGAGCTTGTTCAATGTTTCTGATAGATGTTTTTAATGAGCTTCTAACTTTTAAAGCTGTATGTAAATGTTGGTAACTTTAGCTAGTTGATCTTATGCTGTATGAGTACATGTGTAGTAAACCCAGTCTTTTAATAGTTCTTAACTACTGTTTTCTATTTATTAAATCGCTGTATTTGGCAATTACATTTTTGCACCAGGTCTTCCTGTCTTTAGATAAAATTTTTGTTAACAAAGTTCTGCCTGACTAAAGCAGAATAAACTCTCTACTCTGAATATATATTTAAAAATTGTCAGAACTGACAGTGCTTCTGTAACGTTAACATTAGTACCATCATTCTCTTTTTATAGATGGGAGGAGGTTAAGGGACTTAACTAAAACTACAGAAAGCCCTTACAAGAACATAAATGTGTGCCAGATCAGCCTGTGTAAATCATAGACTGGCATGAACTGCTGATGAAGGAGCCAGTACATTTGTTTGCTTTTATACCAGCCTAAGTGTCATGTAGTGTCCGGGGTCATCTCAGTCTCCTGCTTATCAGGAGTCAGGGCGTGCAGTTGGATGATGGGAAATTTTTGGTGCATTAGTGCCAAATGTATTTTAAAAAAGCCTGCCTCATTGTCAGGCGAAATGTGCCATGGGCATTAGTGGTCTGCCTTGGTCTATCATATCCTGGCAAGAGTGTTTCAACAACTTATCTCTTAAAAGAGACTGTCCTCAGAGTCTGCCAGGGAGGTTGAACTGCTTGATGAGATAAATATGGAAATACATGTTTTGAGGATCCAGGTTTTGAGTTTCTGAGGCCTCGGCTAACGATCCTGTCAGTGCTTGAACAGATTTATGTGTGCATGCTGACAGAGGCAAGTACCTAGGTGGCACTTAGGTCAGTTTGAGTCAGTGACGACCAAATGGTAAATTTAAAATAAATGGTCGTGTTTGAGATCTACGTACATAATATGTATACACTAGGTTCAGTGGGTTCACTGCAATTTAAGCATGTTAATGCATATTTTATTTTGGGCCCTGCAGTTTGCAAATTTGAGTTATGGAAGTTCATGGATTCGAGACTTGGACTATCTATTTTAGCAAATAAACATTATTGCAGTTAAGGTACATTACAGGAAATCAGAGAAAGTTCACTGAAACGCGTAATAAATTCTGGCTTTCTACTTTGTCTCGTTTTTCCATTTTCTTGTGATTTTTATCTTCATGCTTGGAATTCCTTCTCAATCCCTTTGCAGAAGGCAATCGCCCTTTCTCCATTCCCTCCTGAACACTTACCTTCTTTGTGAGGCCCTGGCACTAATCTAAGTAAAAGGTTAAATGTTTTGTAAAAACACAGGGTAAGATAGAGTCTTTGTTTAAGTTCTTGAGTTTTTTTCTGTCTGTTTAGATTGCGAGTGCTTCTGGTTGAAAAACTTTTGTATTATGTAGTGAAAAAACATAGAATTTAGTATTTAAAAATTATAATAGATCATACATGTGCGTGTATACACACACGCTACATCTGTAGCCTATGTATCTGTACTATTTGCTGAATTGACTGCTTCAGAAGAAGGGTGTTATAGTTTCTAGGCTTATTTTAAATTGGAAGTGTAACTAAAATTGATGATGTGACAAAAGGTGATTGCCTGTGAATATTGGAAGAGACTCCTCAGTAAAATGTTACCATGTGAAATGGCTAAATGTAATAATACAATGTTGTAAGGTACAGAGAGATGCAGAAGAAAGCTTGTAAGAGACTAGTGTGTATTTCTGGCTCTAGCCGGGGTTACAGAAGGTAAGTCAGCCCCAGGAGAAAGGTAATTTGCTGTTAGTATTACAGAGGATGATTTCCATTTGCCTGCAGCTACGTTGCTGAGCCTTTTCAGTTAGGAATTTGCCAGACAAACCAGCTCATCAATGTCACCAAAAAAAGAAAAGACCTGCTGGATTCCTTTGCATCTGTGCCTTTGTCTTCTCAAAAAGCTCCTTAAAGATCATGTAAGGAAATCTTAGCAACCCTGTTAGACAAAGCACAGTCAGAGAACAGCAGGGTAAAGTCAGGGGCGCTTTATTTCCACAGTGCTTATTCTATTCACTGTGTCTAGTCTAAGACTGTGGAGTGAGATGCAGTACAGTAGGAGGGAGGGAAGGAAGAAGTTGAGTGAAGGACACCTTTCTATTCCACCAGATCTTAGTCTAGATGGTCTCACTCCAGTTGTCTTGGAATGAGCATAGTAAAAGCACAGTAAGAGGAGGGAGAGGAGGGGCTGGGAGGGAGACTCGGGCACAGGTGATCCTACAGTAGCTTGCTGGGCTTCTGCTTTACTTTTAAGCAGCTAGAATCGGATGCCAGCATAGTAGGAGATTAAAGAAGGGGTTAGATGTTCCCTGAGTTCTGTGCTCAGGAGTCTGGAGGCTTCATGCCAGTCTAGGTGTCACAGACCCAGTTGTTACACAAGGCAGGTAGTCTGCCCAGATGCTCGTTACCTGGCCTCTGCTTCCCCAGTCTCTTCCATTTAATTTCTACAGACACTCGGAGCGAGGTCTGTCATGGTAGGAGCAGGGAAAGTTGAGAAGCAGCATGTGAGAGCATCCTACCACCCATTGCATCTCAGCTGTGAAAGGGGAATTGAGCTGGGAAGGGCTGGGGAATCGGAGGTAAAGAGGAGGCGGGGGCGGGTGGGTGCCTCTTACTGAGAACCCTCTTATGCCTGCCTTACGTGTGCATACAGTGCAAACAGCACCACTTCTGCCATTCCCCCAGAGCATGCTGTACTGTGCGTGAGAAGCAGCACAGGGGAGTGTTCTTCTTCTCTCTTGCTTCCTG